GAAGCATCAATAAAGTCATTTTCATCGACATCTTTACTGGTGCTATTGCAAGGGCTCCAACTGCTGCTCCCACACGTTGATCAAATTTCATCATAACTTAAAAGAAACATTAAAACCTGCTTAGTTTTGAATTTATTAAAAACAAGGAAGAACGCTACAGTCGAGTACCTCGACTATCAGATAACCGTTACTCAGTTAAGGGACCAAAGGGAAATGGAGATATGCAAGCAGCAAAGCGAGATTAAACTGCGCAAGCTACCCGCGATCTCAAAATATGGTTATGTGGGCGGTAGACAGATTTAAGCGTTTGGGCGTTACAGAGGACATGGCTAACTTTTTTGGGTCAACCGATAATATTGTCGAGACTAAAACATTTCAGTTAACTTTTTATCTAGCATGAAAATTGTTGCCGCCACAGGCCTTGGCGGTTTGAGGGCGATAGGGTGGCGTAGCAAACTTTTTTTGATTAATCGATAGGTATTGACAAGTCTAATACATTTCAGTTCGGCCAAAGAGCTAGTGGGAAGGCTCAGAGGGCGCCGAACTGAAGGCTACCGATCGGGTCGTAGGTTGCGGATAGCGAGCGCCCTGGTTCTCCACTCATCTCACTCGTCATCTCACTCATGTCACTCGTACCCGTGCCGAGAGTCAATCTGGCTGGGAGCCCGAGTCAACAAACAACTCAGTCTCAAACGGTGAGCTCAGGCAAGTGGCGACCGCCTGTTCTAAGTCAGCCATACCCGGGTACAGCGGATCTCTGCCCGGGTGGACCTGTCCCTTCTCCGCAGCTCGTGGGATTTAAGTATGGAGAAATGTAATACAAAAAAGCAACAACACCAAACAAGAGCCCGACACTCTTAAAAGTCAGAAGTCGCAACCAGCGACGATAAGACGAGCATAAACACTGCTCCAAAAACCCAAATCCATGTGACTTCGACTCCCGCCAAGGCCAGCGAACAACGCAGCCGTATAAGCATAATACACCAAAAAGACCAGCCCAAGCCTCCCACCAGCGCAGGGATGGCTAACCAGCTCATCCAACCTAAGGGGAGAGCCAAAGCCGGTCTTCTGGTAAGCACCAGGGCCAAGGAGTTCAAGAGGACACCACCTAACCAGGCATGACCTCTGGAACGAAAGAAAGCATTCCGTATCCTCAAACGGCTGACCACCAACCCCATACGTCGAAATTGGATTACCAAAAAATCCAAGAAGACATAGCATGGGCAAAGGCGGCAATCCCAGACTTCGACATCGCTATGACCGCCAGCAACAGCAACAAGCGAGAGAGGTCGATGGAGACAGCTCAACCAGCGAGCAAGAAGGCCAAGATAACCAACCGCACATGGTCGAGATCCTTTGCTGAAGTAGTAAAGGATCAGAAGATCATTGGCGTCATCGACCAGAGCGATGAAGGCGGAAGGATCCCAAGGAACCAATGGGGTTAGACGGACCCTTGCGTCAGTGGACTTAAAAGTGCTGGACGAGAATCCAGGTCCGCCACCAGGGTACCCTGGTACCAGGGCAACGTTAAGTTGATCGCCTGTGAAGACGAGAGATCGGCAGTACTTTACAAGGCGGCTATTAACAAGGTCGGCGAGGTCTACCCCGGGGCAAAGTTGCAGTTTGCGAGGCTGCAGACATCCCGTCTCGACCGAGAGCGAGTTTGTGGCTGCCGTCGGAACCCTCGGAACCAGGGGCTATCCTCAGCCTGCTGACCAGGTTCAACCCGAAGCTTCCGACAGATGGTTTGAAGGTGGTTAAGGTGGAGAAAACCGAGCGCGTCTCTATGAACGTGGTAATTCTCTTGAACAGGGCCTGCTTGGAACCCCTCGCAGAGCAACAATACCGGGTGAACTACGGGTTCGATAAGATGCAACTTCGCATCTACGACACAGAAAAACTAGCGGCAGAAAACCTGGCTGCCTGGCAACAGCCAGCATAGACGTAGTCCTCATTCAAGTGCCATGGATTGTTGGTAACAACATCTGTGGCTTATCAACCCCCTACACAAGCTGTTTTACACCAAGGGTAAGGGTAAACCCAGAACCTGCATTCTTACAAAGACACACTTTAACGCATTTCTTATTCCTCAGTTTAGAGAAGGCGACCTCACTACGGTCAGACTGGAGCTAAATGAAAACACTCATCACACCATAGCATCATTCTATCTGAGTCACGACTTCGAAGGGCCACTACCAAACATCACTACACAACAACTCATACATACATACACACTCATCTAAGGAACTCATCCTGGGTGGGGACGCTAATTGGCACCACACAATGGGGAAGTACAAACACAAACGAAAGGGGTGAGTTACTCTACGACTATATCCTTCAATCAAATCTATTCATCTGCAACAAAGGTAATGACCCAACTTTCATCACTAGAATAGGAGGGAAGTTTTAGACATTACACAAATATCTGATCCCTACTTAACCAGCTAGAAGCGTGGAAGGTAAGGATCGAGCACTCATTCTCAGACCACCGTTACATAGAATTTACAATAGCTCTAGACTGTCCTCCGCAAAGAACATAAGATTAAGATTAACCAACTGGGGATACTAAAAAAATCTCCTCAGAACCTTACACGCTTCACCGACACACGTACTCAACGGTCAAGAGTTAGAAAACCTAGTTACTGACATCTGCGGTGAGGCCATAAAAAGGGCTTGTCCAAGCAGAACTGTCAAAGCAATGCACAAACCGCCATGGTGGAACACAACCCTGGCAAACCCTATAAGAGAGTGTAGAACTTACTTCAATAGAGCTAAATACAACAATAGCGAATCCTCCTGGAACATATACCATAAGAAATTAAGCCTATACAAAAAGGAAATAAGAATATCGAAACGAAGAGAATGGGATAACTTCTGCAGTAGCATAGAATCTGCTGCGAAGGCATCCAGACTCAGAAGAATCTTAGCAAAATCTCCAGCAACCATAGGCTACCCACAAAACAATGCTGATAGCTGGATGGAAAACAGCCAGGAAACCCTTGAACTCCTGTTAGACACTCACTTCCCTAAAAACACCCAAGTAGTGGAGGACCTCTACATAGAGCAGAACCTTGACGACCAGAGTATAGACAACATCTCGAACCCTAACCGCATTAAGTGGGCTAATAACTCTTTTAAGCCCTTCAAATCCCCCGGCCCGGACAGGTTCTTCCCGGCCCAGCTACAACGGACACTAGTTATATCCCTACCCTAGCTGACAGCCATCTTCCACGGCTGCCTTGCTCTAAACTATACCGAAAGCCGGCAAACCCTCCCACACCAACCCAAAGGAATTCCTCCCGATAAGTCTCTCTTCCTTCTTCTTAAAGACCCTGGAAAGGCTATTTGACATCCATATCCATCAACCCAAGCCTACTCTCTGACGCACAGCACGCGTACCGCAAGGCAGATCAACAGATACCGCTCTCCACTCTCTAGTATCTAGTATCTCTAGTTTCCCAACGGCGATTACTGGTGCTCTGACTGAACTGGGCATTGAGCGGCCCATAGTGGGACTCATACACACCATGCTCACCAGCAGAGTAGTGTACTCCACTATGGGAGCAGCTCACTCGAACAGGAATGTCAGCAGAGGAACCCCACAAGGGGTGTACTATCACCTCTTCTATAGGTTATAGCGGTCAACAAACAACTATCACTTCTAGAAAAGGCGGGCACTAAAGTGGTAGCCTACGCGAATGACGTGGGTTTCCTACTGCAGGGTAAGTTCCCGCAAACTCTTTGCAATCTGATGGAGACAGCCCTATCCACCCTCTCAAGGTGGACAGCTGATTGTGGACTGGCAGTTAACCCAGAATAGACCGAACTATTTCTTTTTACAAGGAAGTATAAGATACCAAATCTAACTCTCACAAAACTACACCAAACGCGCCAAACCCTCAGCAACCAATGAAAATATCTGTAGTATCCGTGCATATTGGATAAAGACTGTACAGAATAGCATTAGTCTTTGTAGCATTTTGCTACCATCAATATACAAAAGTCCACCCGCCAGCATAGTTTCAAGTTCATGTGTAATTTGACCACCAGGTAGTCGACTGTCGCAGTGTCGGTATGTTTCACAACCATATGCCGTCTTACTTATATACATACACTTCACACCCCTTAGCTTAAACAGTGAATATAATGTATTCACATACAGCGATAGTGAGTAATAAGTGGTCTATAAGAATCGTTTAACTGACTATTATGCATAGCCGCCTTCAGGGGCCGTGCTTAAATTTGATTGGTTACCAGCGTGGTGAATTTATGCACAAATGCTTTGTTAACATACTTCCCCGCTGTGCGCAAGGCCTGCGTGCCAGACTTAAACCGAAATAAAATCAATCGAAGAATTTAACATAACAAGGAAGTACGCTACAGACGAGTACCTCGACTATCAGATACCCGTTACTCAGCTAAAGGGACCAAAAGGAAATGGAGGTATGCAAGCCGCAAAGCGAGATTGAAATGCGCCACCTACCTACCAGTGATCTCAATATATGGTTATGTGGGCGGTAGAGAGATTTAAGCGTTATGGGCGTTAGAGTAACCGTGGCAAACATTTTTTTGGATCGATCGATAAAAATTGACGAGACCAATACACTTCAGTTAAAGTTTTTTATCTAGCATGAAAATTTGTGGGCGTCACAGGTTTGGTCGGTTTGTGGGCGTTAAAGTGGGCGTAGCATTTTCGCGTAACTAACTTGCGCTGCGTACAAGGCAACGAAATCAAAATCTGAGATCCCAATTCTCTATCTTTGATAGTTTCCGAGATATCACCGTTCATATTATTTATTTTTTGAAGTTTTTGGGCGGTTTGTGGGCGTTAGGGTGGGCGTGGCAAACTTTTTTTTGTGGGGTGTGAAAGATAATCCATGTTCGAGTAGCATTATAAGCACGCATTCGGGAAGGTGATTTTAAAAATACTTTTCTAATATGCTCAAAACATATTTGTTCACATCTGGGAATGCCAATCAAACTGTTTCCGCGATTCGATGTAAAGCGTGTGCCAAACAACTAATGTAAATTATGTTTGGATAAAATATTTCAAGGCCCAAAAACTGTTTAGTGTACTATTTGCAAATTATGAGTTTATGTAAATTATGAAGTGGTTAAAATTTGCTCTCGTACCTTAAATTAATAGACTACAATTGTCTTAGGTTGTGGGGATTTTTAATTAATAAGACAAAAGGAAGAAGGCTATAGTCCAGTGCCTCGACTATCAGATACCCGTTACTCAGCTTAATTTTGATTACTTTCCATGTTTGAATAAATGATTTCGCATTAGTAAACTTTAAACTGTCAAAATTAGTTTTAGCTGAATCAATTAGACCTGACACATTCTTTCTCAATGGAGTATAGTGCTAAAGTCTTGTACCGTTTCCTCTGTTTGTATGCCTCATTGCGCCTTTAATAGCTGCCTTAATTTCACTAACAAGTTACTTTTTACTTTAGGCCGGGAAAAATTGTCGAACAGCTAGCTGAGTTCTTCTGAAATAAGGTCACTTGTTGGTCTACTGATGGTAAACTATAAATACCGATTCAATATCAGAAGTCTAATTACTAGTCTAGATGGTCATTGTCAATATTTTTAAAGCATTTTAAAACTATTGTTTTGTTAAGAACTGGTAAGTCAAAGTAATACGTCAAGAAGGTTATGTCATGTTTAGAAAAGTACGATCAATTGTTCATATATAAGGACTTTTTTGTTATTGGCCACAAAAAATAACGTAATTGCGTGTTTTGGTAGTGTGTTGGAAAGGAGGAGTTTACCAAGATAATATATAGTTGTTCTTTGTTATTTTAAAGGCGTGTATCTCTTAGGATATCACTATTGAAATTATCTTCTTAAATTATATTGCAGTAATTTAACGTGGTACTTGACAGCAAAATTTTTGACATTAAAACTACACCTAACCAATATTATTACAAAATTTATTTGGGCTACTAATTTCCAGAAATAAATATTCTACTGCACTATTCTCAGGATGTTTACATATGGACTTGGCTTTTAATTTATTACTGACATACTACTGTGGGCAAAAAGGAAGGTGAATTTGTTTGTAAAATATAAAACTTTACTTATTCTTCTAAATCAAAATCATCCCCTTCAAAATTATTTCTCCCCGACAAAATACACTAATGCAAACGTTTTTTCCAATCCTCAAAGTATGCCAGATAGTCTCTTTCCGGTATAGCAATCAGCGCCTTTAGCTTTTATCTCCTCAATCGGCTCAAAACCCCCCGCTTAAGTTTTGGGAAGTTACACGGAGCCAAGTCAGGCGAGTATGGTGTTTGCGGAACGATATGCGTCGAATTTTTCGGGAAATGGCTACGAAGAACGAGTGCAGTGTGAGACGGTGCATTATCTTGATTCAAAATCGAAGAGTTGTTGGCCCAAATTTCTGGTCTTTTCAGACGAATTTCTTCACGCAAACGACGCGTAACGTTGAAATAATATTCCTTTCTAACAGTTTGGTTGCGTGGAACGAATTCATAGTGCACCAAACCACGAAAATCGAAAAAAAAAACTTTCATCATGATCGTTCGGTTGTTTCTGGGTAGTAAGCATAAATCCAAGTCTCATCTCCCGTAATCATGCATGAGCTTGTCCTGATAGTCAGGTAGCATTGCTTCACACATATTAACGCCACGACTTTTTTGGACGAAATTGAGCGCTTATTGTCGAAAAATTGAAAAATGCGCTCTTGGTCGTTTAGTAAACACAAACGTAATTATATTACTGATAATGACATTGACATGAAATTTGGCCCAGTCCTAACAAGCCTGAAATGTTAGGACAGCGAAGTTTAAATTGAAAACTCACCTTACTTTTTGCCCACTGTAGTACACACAAAGTTTAATTGACCAGCAAACCAACCAGGGGAACTATAAAAGTCATATATCATATTGATTGGACAGTTGGAACCAACGATTTACATTTTATAGATTACCTGTAGATATATTAACAAACAAAAACACCTCTTAAGGAGGTAACGAAATAGTGACGACCGCACCTTTAACATACAAAAGTCCTGATATCATTATTTGTGACAAAAAAAAATTTACATTCGAAAAGAAAAAACCTTTCTAAAATTTACTTCTTTGACCCGCTTCAGAAAAATGTTTAAGATTTTACACACACGAACATTTTCTATTGTAGCGTGCCGCGTTATTGTATTAATAACTTTCAAGCGGTTCTTTTTTTTTGTGTCGTACGTCAAAAGTTGAGCAATCTCAAGATCTACACATCCTGAAATTTAATTTGAAATCTACATTTTTGAGCAATCAGAGAAAAAGCTGAAAAAAATCGGATTAAAAAAAGTATCGCCCATAATTCTTAAACGGAGAAAAATCATGTTCGAAAGACTTAAATAGTATTAAAAATACCTTTTTAACGACATATAGCACAAGCCTGTAGCTTTAGTAGTTCACAAGTTACGGGTGAACAAAATTTAGCTATTTATAGCTGTTTTCCCGCCAAACTAGCTAGTTTTTCCCAAAGTGGTAGAACTAAAGTTTCTTATATTGAGCTGTTTAACGTCATCTAAAATTTCCAGGATCCTTAAACATCATTTTGGGACAAACGGACAAACTGACAAACAGAACTTTTTTTTCATTTTGAGAAGTCCCCCAAAATCTTGTTTTGCGTATTACTTTTGAACGGAGCATCCGATCTTGACAGTTTAAATGTCATTCGACGCATATTTAAAGTAAAAATACAACTAGGTTATTAGCGGGCGTTATTTATCCCCACCGGCCCCAACAGATCAAATTTTCCAAATTTTCACTTTTTCTCTTTCTCCCAAACCAATTTATTTTCTTAGAGTCTTGATATGCAATTATTTTAGTTGTTGCAATACTGTGACCGCATTCCAGGTACAGACCTTTCTGTGCATTTTGAGATAACAAAGCGTAAGAGGATTGAACTAAGCAAAACAACAAGATTGCTGATAACTTGTGGAAACCACAAATGCAGCCACAAAAAATGTAAATAGCGGAATGTAAATAAACTCTTTAGATTGGCCTTTATACACTCGTAAAAAATTTAATATGTGCCAAAAATTTTTAAATTTTAAAGTTATTAGCACATAAGTAATGCTCACTAGGTAGCGTAGTCTCGGGGACATTCGCTTTGCTGCTTCTATATGTCTTCATCTTATTCGAAGATTCGACGTTTTCTCTTGCTTTAATCTAAAAACCACTAAAAACTATGTATTTTAAGACACAAAAAAAAAAGACTAAAAATAAAACTTTTCTTTCGTATATAGGAAATAACATCAATACGTCTTTTTGCGGTACACACCCCTTGTCTTTTTATGTTCTTTCTGATTTCAAAGTTTAAATTGCGACTGCTTTACTAAGCCCTAGATTAATACATACCTTGCTCTCGAAGAACTTTTACGGCCTCTAGTACTCGTCTGGTATATATACATGGTTCATAATTATCCATTTCAGCTTCAACAACATTACAAACTCGCGCGGAACGGCCCTGAATTGCTCCGGCTGTAGCGCGCAAATCCGTGGCATCTCCAACTTGTAAAGCCATTACACATTTATTTACATCCTCAAGAATATGGTTCTCGGATACTGCCAAAAAGTCGTCAATTGTTGTTATATCATCCACTGCTTCGGTTAAAATTCGAACTTGCACCTCCCAAGCCTGCCTATAGGTAGTCATATTTTCTTGAGCTACTTTTGAATTTGGTCGTACGGTCAAAATAGAGGCTGCATTTATGACTTGCGGGCAAAGGCTTTCGATTTGAGCAGCAGCATATCGAACCATCTTAACACCATCTTCATTGCTTGACATGCTACATACTAGATTAGCAACTTCAACGAGTTTTTCAGCATGCTTAGTGAATATGTCAGCTTTCTCACGAACTTTTTTTTCATTGCCCATCTTGGCAGCTTCAATTAAATCTAGCAGAGGAGTTGAAGTCTCTAAAAATGAGTCCGAAACATGATCCACAACAGCCTTTCGTAATTGCCTTCTCAGGTCACGAGTTTTTCGACACATTTGATCTATTGCTCGAGAGAGTCCAGGGCTGTTATCTTTTTGACTCATCTAAAAAATAACCCATTACTAGTAATTTCAGTATAATACAAAAATACTTACGTTTGACATATATTCAGTAAGCAGGTCTTGTAAAGCTTGTCGAACAGCATTGCATTCAGCCACAATTCTTTCTCGACGTTCGTCTCTAGTGCAGTCTGCATCTGCCATTAGTGCAGCTGCACTAATAATACTCTCTAAGCGTTCCTCAAGCAATTGACGTGATCGCTTCTCGCTATAAGTCATAGGATCCATAACAATTCCTTCCTGCAGCATCCGTTACACAAAAGAAAAATAAATTTCAAAATATTAAAGCAAACGAAATAGTTTCAGCAAGCAAAAGGTTAAAATCTTTGCATATATAGCGGTTCCGAGCGAAAAGGTTAGCGTCTTTGACAAGTAAAACTTCGATTAGCCCAAAAGCACATTCAGAAAACTGGAGTTTGAGAACGGCGTTACTGTCGTAAACCATAAGAAAACATTTTAAAGCATATCCTCTTGCTAACCATTGTTAGCAGGGCAAAATTGTCAAAATCGGATGCTCCGTTTAAAAGTAATACGCAAAACAAGATTTGGGGGACTGAATGAAAATTTTATTATGTTTGTCAGTTTGTCCGAAAACGATATTTTAGAATCCTGAAAGTTCTAGAAGAAATATAAGAAGCATTAGTTCTACCACTTTTGGAAAAACCTGCAAGTTTTTTGGCGAGAAAATAAATAAAAAAATATAAAAAACTAAATTTTGTTCACTTGTGAATTACTAAAGCTAACAAAAATTGCCACATTTACCAGTTCATTACTTCTTACACTGACACTACCTGAGCATTGACTCTTTTTTGTGCGTATACAAACTCTATTTGAAGGTCCTGGAAATTTAAGATGATGTTAAAGAGCTTAATAAAAGAAACTTTACTTCTACCACTTTTGGAAAAACTAGCTAGTTTGACCAGAAAACAGCTATAAATGTGAAGTACAGCTACAGGCTTGTGCTATAATTTGTTAGAAAGATATTTTGAAATGCTTTGTACGCCTTACTAACATGATTCGTCTATATACCACCGTTAAAAAATTATGGACAAAAGTTTTTTTTATTCCGATTTTGTAGCTTTTTTTCTGATTTCTCAAAACGGCTCTAACGATTTCAAATTAAATTTTTAGGTGTATAGCCCTTGAGAATCCTCAACTTTTGACATGCGACACACTTTTATCAGGTTATCCATACTCTTAAAAGAGCTCCAGACAAAAAAACTTTAGTTCTGCGACTTTTTGAAAAAAAGAACTGCTTAACTAAAGTTGTTTGTATGGAGCTCTTCTAAGAGTATGGATACCCTGATAAAACAGTCCATTTTGTTGTTCAAATGAGACTTTTTACAAGAATGTGTTGTATGCCAAAAGTTAAGGAATCCCACGGGATTTAAAGTTTAAAGTTAAAGCCGTTTATGAGCAAACAAAAATTTGTTTTTTGAATTTAAGAAACTTTTCTCTTTAATTTTGAAACTAAGTTATGTAGGCAAAATTTTGTTAAGGATTGCATAAGATTCCGTTAAATTAACGGTTTTTCCAAAAGTGGTAGAAATCTAGTTTCCTTTATCGGAATTTTGGAATTTCGAGGACCTCAGAACAACGTTATGGGACAACATTTTTCTTTTAAAACGTCCTCCAGAATCTTGTCTTTCGATTTTAGCAAATGAGTCTCGAATTTTTACAATTGAGTCTCGAATTTTTACAATTGAGTCTCGAATTTTTACAATTGAGTCTCAAAATATTACAAATAAGGTGTCATTCTATATTGCCTTTATTGTTGCTTGATAACATTTTCACCAGTTTTTATTTAACAATCTGATGTATATTAAAAGTTAATTAGTCTCAAAAGCTATTTAGTTATACCAAAGATTATATAGGTAGACAAGAAGCTGTGTAACAACAGTACAACGGAATAACAGCAAAATTTATGGAGTACGTTTTCGATGTGGATTTTCGATCTTCCCAGTGTGCGTTGCCTGTGCTAGATTCTTTGGTTGTGTTAGTGTATAATTTCATTCGTATGTACCATTCGTATGTTTTATAGCTGCTTACTGGTTTACTTTTTTCCTTTTTAAAATTTGTATATTTGGGTCTCTGTTGCGTTTAGTTATTTAGCAATGAATGGCAATAATGGCAATGAATTAAAATGTTGACAGAAAGGTGCAAACCTTCTTCATGGATATTATAAGCAGGTGATTTTTTGTTATTTTTAATAATTTAATATACATACATCAAGAAAAATTGTAATTTTTGAATAAATTTAATAAATAACTTATTTTAGAAAAAGTTAACCCACAAGTAATGATTTTAAAGATCCTTGTTTTTATTTGCCCAAAATAATTTTTCTAAACAGTATACATTTACACACTCTGCTCTCTGTTTTAAATCATTTTATATAAACTATATAATTCATGATTTTCTCCTTTATATCAACTTTAAAATTCATTGTCTTAAAAATAAAATTAAACTGAAAGTTAAAAAAAGAGCGACACCTTTTCGTCTCAATAATTCAAGAATCGACAAATTAGGAAAATTGAACGTAATCTTTTCAGAAAAAAGGCAAGAGAGAGAGAGAAAGAGGCAAAGTTAGGGCGCTTTAATTATATATCCTATACGTGTAAATCTTGTTCTTGCAAAAATGACTCCGCCTATAAACATTTTTTTTCTCCTGGTTTAGCATCTTGGCATTTTATAAGCTTTAGTTGTACACTTTATTTGTAGAGAAAAAGATATATTGATTTCGGGGGAAAGTATGTAACATATGTATGCCATGTCCGCCTGTCCGTGTGAACGCTTAGGTCTCGGAAAATATAAGAGCTAGAGTTGGGATTTTAGATTTAGATTCCTTAACTTAGAACGCAGCAGTTTGTTATGCTAATGTGCCACGCCCGCAGTTTTAATGCTAGTGTAATAATTTTAACTGAAATATATTGTTCTCGTTAATACCTATCAATTGACCTAAAGAAAACAAACGCCTACAAACTGCCCAAAACCATTGACAAAGAAAATTCCTAGAAAATTCCAGGCACACCACTGACATTATTAGACATTATATTTTACATAACCGCAATGATTTTTATTTTAGAGATTTTTATTTAAAACTTATAAAATAATCATTATTCTGAAATTTTTATATAAAACTTGACATCAAACAAAAAGACTTTTTCTCTGAGTTTTATTATTTCAATCAAAAATATAACTCACTATCATATTGTGGCGGTTCTGTGGCTTTGTTAAAGATTTTTTCAGAAGACTATAGGTGTGTATGTTTTATTTATTTATGTCGCACAAGGGAAAAATCAATGTGTTAATAGTAAATAGTAACACATTCCTAATTTATCAATCCGATGGCTGCTATAAATTTTAATTTGCTTTGAATCGCCAATTTAAACTGTGTTCACAAAAAAGTTTGCCTACGCAAGGATTGTGAGAAAATTGAGGTCAAAGTTGGGAAGAAGCTGTTTTTGGCGAACAATTTTTAAATTGGGGATTTAAAGCGAATTCGATTTTTTAGCAACCATCGAGGTAAATAAATAATGGTCTAATTTTGTAAGACAGTCAAATTGTTATTATAAATAAATATAAATAAATTGTCTATAGTGGTCGAGTGGATCAGTGATAGGCCTGAAAACGCGTATTAAGATATCGACTCTAGTTTGAGCTGAAACCATTTTATATCATTATTGTATAAAAGAACAAATGCCACGTGTAGGTCCCGATTTTAACGTCAACAATTTGAGAGGATTAGTAACGACCATCTACACCGAAAACCTTACAACTTACCGCGAAACTGTTAAGAATTTAAATCAATCAAAACTGAAAAAATTTGTAAAATAGGCAAAACGATTTTAGCATGCAGCTACTTGACGAATTTAAATCGTCAAAACATTCAAAATACCGTTTTAGGAAAGGAAAGAAGAATTCAAGCAAATTTTAAATTCTTCGCTTTTAATTATGGGATGTTCTCGTGTGTTGAGACTAACAATAAGTCATTAAATCTTATAACTAAACATTAACTAACAACTCAATTATTTTAGGGTTGCATGTCCCAAGATTTAATCTCTCGGTTAGAAGATCATTACGACGAATACGGGAGCGGCTGCACAGCCGAGTTAGCACTCGCGCGAGGTGGTTAGGGTGCGAAAGCCTGCTGTGGTATTTCTCTTTCTGTTCAGCTATTACATCTCCGGCTGGTTGAATATTGAGGTCTTTCTGTATGTTTTCGTTGCGAACGTACCACCTCAGGATCTTCGATTGATAACTGGGAGCCATAGGTCCAGGTAGGTTTAAGTACGGAGTTGTAGAGCAAAACCTTGTGGTCAAGACTAAGAGGACCGAGCGTTGATAAGCCAGTGAAGACTATTAGCTTTTAGTTATACACTACTGGTCTTGGGTTAGACGCACTTTGTTTTCCACACAAATTTGTTTTATATTTATTATTTTAATGATTATTGAAAAAAAGTTAATATGCAAAAACCTTGGTTATTTAATAATACTTCAATTATAATATTCAAAATATTATAAAAATATAACATAAGTTGTGTTTTCATAAATTTTCTTTAACCAACTTAAAATAAGTCACATTTTTCTTGGTCAACAGAATAGACCAGTGGTCGGCAGCGGCCTATCTAGTGAGCATAGGGAAGTGTTCTGCCCATCCTCTGCTCGCTCACGTATAACGTACATGTTCGTGTGACTTTGGCATGGGTCTTCGGGTAATTTTTTTCTCAACTTCGGCGCGCTTTTTTGTTGCTGCGGCAGAGGATCTCAGTGCAAAGCAGAGAAACGTCTCGCTTCAGCACGCCGCGCGCAAACTTCGTGTTTGTTACACTCACACTAATGCAAGGCAAACTTGTGATGGTATGTGTGTGCCGACCACTGGAATAGACGCACTTAGACATAATATTTTTTTTTTAAAAAAGTAACTTATTTTTAACTTAAATTTGCAGTTGGTGTTAATATTTGATTTATTAGAAATTAAAAATAAAAAATTCAGTAATGAGTACTGCATTCTTTGTTAGTAATAACTTCATATATCCGGTCCTTCATAGAATAATACAAGGCAATCTATGTATTTCAACGAAATCCCGCTCCAAGCACGTTTAATAGCTGCAGTTAATGTTTCCTTATCTTCGTATTGCTTTCCTCCTTCGCATACCATCCGCGTTAGCCAGCCCCAAACATTTTCAATTACGTTAAGATCTGGAGAATATGGTGGCCAGGTCATGATATTAACGTTTTGACTCGAAATA